TTTTTCCCTCTTTTTTTTTTTTTTGTTTTCTTGCCCCAGAAGGGGCAAGCGGAAAGCCAGCGCCGCCCACCCCCGGCAGCTCCCCGCGCCCCGTCCCGCAGCATCCCCGCCGCGATGCTGCTGCGGCTCCTGGTGCTGCTGGGTGCCTGCCCGGGGCTGTCGCGGTGCCTGGGCTCCTTCGTGCAGTGCGAGCCCTGCGATGCCAAGGCGCTGTCGCTCTGCCCGCCGCCGCCGCTGGGCTGCGAGCTGGTGAAGGAGCCGGGCTGCGGCTGCTGCCTCACCTGCGCCCTGCCCGCCGGGCAGCCCTGCGGCGTCTACACCGAGCGCTGCGCCCGCGGGCTGCGCTGCCTCCCGCGCCAGGGCGAGGAGAAGCCGCTGCACGCCCTCCTCCACGGCACCGCCGTCTGCCTCAGCGAGAAGAGCTACCGCGAGCAAGCCAAGGCTGGTGAGTGACCCCGCTCCTCCATTCGCAGCCTTCCCGGATGCTTCTCCGCCTTGCCGGCCCCTTTTCCATCTCTCCGACGGCTTTTTGCACCCCACCGCCAGCTCCCGGCTGCTTTTTCCCTCGTTCCGGGTGCTCTTCCATGACCCTCCGCTTGCCTTTCCGTCTTTCCGGCTCCCTTTCCATCTTTCCGCTTGCTTTTCTGCTCCCTCCCACTGGCTGCTCTTCCCTGCCCCCGCGGTTGTTTTCTCATCCCGCCGGCTGCTTTTCCATCTTCCCAGGTGCTCTTCAATGCCCCCGCTTGCTTTTCTGCCTTCCCGGTTACTTTTTCATCTTTTCTCCCGCTTTTCCATCCACACCCTCCCCCCCCCTGCGCTTCCAGCCCCCTCCCCCGTCGTGTGCTTTTCTGCCTTCCCAGCTCCTCCATTCCCCTCCACCACCACCAGCTGCTTTTCCATCTTTCTGGCTACTTTTCTGTCTTTCTGCTTGAGTTTTCTCTTTCACACACACATTTACACACTCTGGCTGCTGTTCCATCTTTCTAGCTACTTTCCCATTCCTTCCCCTCCCTATCCCCTCCAGCAGCAGCTATTCCAAGCCCCCGGTTGCTTTTCCATCTTTTCCATCTGCTTCTCCACCACCAGCACCACTTCCCCTGGCTGCTCTTCCACCTCCCTATTGCTTTTCCACCTTTCCAGCTACTTTTATATCTTTCTAGTTGTTCTTACACACACACATGCAGTTGCTTTTCCATCTTTGTAGGTACTCTTCCATCCCCCCAACTGTTCTTCCATGCCCCTTGCCACTTTTCCTATCCTTCTTTCCATCCATGCTCTGGTCAAACCTCCTGTTGCATCATCTCAGCCTCCCCCACTCTGCCTTCTGTCATCACCTCTGAGTTGTCCCATCTCCAATGGAAAGCTTTTCTTCCCCCACTTCCCAGATGCACCCTCTTAGTCACAGCTGCATCCCAGTCCTTCCTTAGTTACATCCTTTACATCTTTCCTGAATCCCTGTCTTCACCCTCTTCCTGACCCCTTTCTCTCACCATATCTTCCACTTTGCTCTAGAGTCCGAGCTGACCTCTGCAACTTGAAGTATAGGAGAGGGCAGGGCACCTCCTTGCAACCAACTGCCCCATTCCCAAAGTCCTCAGCCCCCTGTGGGTTTGTTGCTCAGCCTCCCACTTTCTCCTTGGGATCATTGCAGCCTGCTCTTCCTGGCTGCCTGCTGCTGGACGTCTTTGTTGGGTGATGGGTTTTAGCCCAGGGAGGTGAAGAGAGCAGGTGCATTAGGGACAGGGTATGTGATTGCAAAAAATAATGATGGTGTGGCTAATAACCCAAAAGAACAGGTTAAAAGCAAGCATGAAGGCAGGCATGGCAGCATGAGTGCAAGGCCAGGCTTCTGAAGTGTTTGCCTCTTGCACGTGACAAAAGCATGAAAGAAAGCACTCCTTCACTTTGGCTCTCATTTCACTTCAATTTCTGGATCCTCTAGCTCATGTGAGGACACATTCCCTATATTCCTCCAAATACATCTGTATTTGCCACAGTGTAAAAGAGAGGCAGAGAGGGTGTCTGTGTGTCCAGGGGACCACTTGGCAAAAAACTCCCAGAAACAAACCCCTCACTTTTTTTGGAGCATGAAAAAGTAATTTCTACTTGTTAGCAAGCTTCTGCTTATACCCACGCAATGGGATTCCGTTTCTCCTTTCTAGCACCTAGTAAATCTTGATGCTTTTATTATTTTTCCCCTTTGCTGCTTGTAGGCAGTGGTTGGGTTGCTACACTCCATCCTTCAGAGCAAAACCAAATTCTATGTGTATAACTTCCCCCCTCCTTTGAATGACATCAGATGTCCAAACTCCCTTAAATCAGCCAGGAACAGCAAAGCTGAGCTTGGTTTTTTGAAGGGAGATGGAAGGGATGAGGGTTGGGAGCAGACCTGCACAGGGAGCAGAGGGTAATGCCAGGAGCCATGTTCCTGCCGTGGAGCCCAGGAAGCTGGGCAATAACTGCTGGCAGTGGAGATATGTGAAGTATCCCAGAGCACGTCATCCCAGTGTTTATTTACTCTTCATGTGTATGTGCGTGGCCAGGGGAGGGCAATGTGGTGGGGAAGGCAAAGCCATGCCACCGAAATCCAGCAGTGGCTGGGAGAGCAGGGCCCATCCTTGCACCTATGCAAGGGTGCCCCACACAGACCAAGGCACCTGAGAAAGCTTTGGTGCTTGGCTCTCAACATGAATCTCCTTTCATTCCGCCTGCCTCGCACTTCTCAAAGGTGCTCTGCATGAAAACTTTAGCCAGTTCCCTTGTAATACCACTGCTTTTGATTTTCTTGCGATGGGGAGCACCCATTGAGTGAACAAGGAGAGGGGTAGGAGAGTGGTTGCAGGTTTGTTTTGCAAAACCAACCCTCTGGCACTACCTGCACTTCCAGTTTGGACTCCCCAAGCGCTGCAGGGGCCTCTTTTCGGCAGGTTTTGTTCGCAGGCAGGAGATGAGCCTGGATTGGAAAGGCTGCTGCAAGAAGCCACAGGAGACCAGCAGGCTCCTCTTGAGATTTGTGCGATTGCAAAAAAGAAATAAAAAATAAATCAGGAATTCCTGAGGACGGGAGAGGGGAAAAAAGTCATTTGGCATTCAACTGGTAGCGTGTGAGAACAAAGTATATTTTCATAGGCGTGTTTCTAAGCAACAGGGCAAGAAAAGAAATGAAGTTTAACTTGAACTTTCTGGCCTCTGCCAGTTTGGCCAGCAGCTTAGGGACTGTGTGCTGGGGATGCTGGCCTGGCCCTTCCATCTATCAATGACCAAAATTGGCCCTGAGCTGTGAACCGCTGAGAAAGAATCAGCACTCTGCAAAATAAACTATGTGACAGTGGCGAGGACTAGATCAAACTGCATTTCTATCTATTTGTGCCCTTACGCTGGCCAAGTTTAAAATTGCAGATGCTTTCCTCCTTACGGAGGTGGAGATGCATCGAGCAGTACTGCAAGAGCCCAAGTCTGGGAGGCTGGGCTTGGCTCTCCTCTAGAGCAGATGTCTTGCCTGGGGATAAGATGCTCGCAGGTACCGTGCCTCAGTTTCCTCATACATATGCTGAGCACGGTGGCACTGAGAAATGCTGGAGGTACTGAGCAGAATGTGCTCCTGGTTTACTGAGAGGTCTGGAATGAAAGCAGGTGTGGGATTAGAGGGCTTTGGTAAGGTTAATTTTAAGTAGATGGATATGTAGGTACGGATAGGACGGTCCCTGTAGTGCTTCCTGCCACAAGTCAGACACTGTCCTGTACTGAAAGCCAAACATCACGGCTGTAATTGACTGTTCCTGGTAAAAAAAACATGAATGAGCTTCATTTATGGCACAGGCTACAGGATTCTGGGTTTTCTCTGTTTTGTTTAGTTTTCCTTTGAAATATACCACGTCTTTCCATTTTTCTCCCCTGTGCTCCCGCCAGACTTCCTCCTGCTGAGACAGCAAGGTCAGGCTGAGCATCGGGGAGCGGAGGGCACAGACTGAAGCCTGCTGCCCTAAAAAGGCTCGTGGAAAAACAAAGGTTGTCAAATATTTCCTTCTCCTCTCTCATTCCTGCTCTCTTTCTAGAAAGTGAGCAAGACTTGGCAAGTTTCCTCACGAAACCACGAGCCAACGATAACCAGGAGGGGAAAGGGGGGGGGGGGGTGTTTGCAGAATTGGCCCTAAGAAAATCATCTTTGCTGTGTCAGCTGGAAGTAGGCGGAGAAGGAGCGCTGCCGAGCCCAAATTTCCTGCGGCTTGTGTTTGGTGCAGTCCTTTATTGCTCCCCAAAATATTCCTCCCCCCCCCCATTCCTCCTTCCCATGCTCTTCTGCTCTACATTTGGGGATGTGGGGCTTCAGGGTTGAGTGATGGGGATGTGGTGAGGCAGATGGGCAGCTCCACACAGTCCTCACATCCAGGGTGAGGGTGAGGGTTAGGGCAGCAGTCATTGGAACAGGCCATGGGACGTGCTGGCTTGTGCACATGTGTCACTTGGGGAGGGACCTGGCTGGTGTGAGCAGCAGGTCCTTTGTGTGAAGCAGCTCCCAAAATGTCAAGGTGAAAGCTAGTATCAACAGGCCTGCAAAACCTCAGATACGAAACAGGAAAATCTCCATTTTTCTTTTGATCTGGAGTTCCAACAACAATATATTAAAAAAAAAAATAGGTGAAATCCATCAGGTGCCAGCAAGTGAGTCAGGTTTCTGCGGTGTGTGTGTGTATGGGGGAGGGAGGAATGGGGTGGTTCAAACAGGAAAGGAGGGGCCTTGGCTGGAAGGATTTTTCAGCAGCCTGGTTTCTAAGGAAGGAGGGAGAATATTAAGTAGTTGATCCAAATGAAATTCCTGCCGAGTGCCAGCAGAGTTCACCGGAGAAAAGACGTGGCTCTGTGCTTGCGTGCGTGCACGCGTGCGTGCATGAGAGATAGAACTGGCCCCGAGCTTCCACACAGCCCTGGACTCGCTCCAGGTGAATGAAAGGAGCCCCTCCAGAGCTTGCACCACTACACCGCCCCAGAAAAAGGGGAGGAGGGTAACCCAGGTTCTTATCAATAATTCCCTTGGGGTGGATTAGAGTGAAACGATACTGGATAATCGATGTCTGAAAACATATATTGGTAAGGTTTATTTTAACAATTTTGTATCAACAGATATGCTAGCGTTTTGGGTGTTGTCATATAACAACGTGGCATAGAGATAATCTTTGGGGGGGGAGAAAATGCATAGGGGAGAGAAAGACAGAATAAGAGTAAGGGAGAGTAAGGAAAAAGAAAAGCTGAGAGTGGACCAAACGTATATAGTCACTGCCCACGGCATCCAGCGATGACACTTGGTAGTTGCCGCTTCCATGTCTGTCAGTAAATGTGGTGGCCTTGATCTGCTGGGGGTGAAGGAGGGAAGCCCCCACACGCCAAGAAGTTACGAGTTATTATATCCATGGTTAGTGTCATGGGCCATGCCTCGAGCCTCCAAAC